ACTGCCTTTTAGCAGTACCAAATGACTGGCGTTTTGGTGATTCACTGGATTGCCTGAAACACTTATTACGGACTGGGTACCACTGAATTGACAAAAAGGTTTCCTAGAATTCATAGAGTTGGAAGAGACCTATAGGACCGTCGAGTACAACCCCCTGCCTGAATGCAAGGATCCAACCCAAAGCAAATCTGATGGATGGTTGGATTTTTTTCCTCTTGAGCACTGCAAGTCCAACAATGCATGGCTCCAGAAAGGGAGCAACTTGATAGAGGAGGCCATCGCCTCACGTTTGCAAGAGCTGAGCAGGGCTGTTATTGAGAGAACATTTTGGAGGCCACTCGTCCAATAACAAACAGGAGAGGACGCCTCCAGCTGAGGGGCTGACCAGGCAGTCTTTAAATCTTCTGCAGTTTTCAAGCTGTTTCATGACAGGACCTGATCCCGGCCCACCGAATCTGACCCACCCGGCTATCCTGCCTCTTGCTTCGACGCTGCACTCACAAAGACACTTGCAGGCAATTGTAGCCATGAGTAGCTGTGGGGCTTTTTACACGAGACAACAGAAACATTGTCTGACACAATGTTTGAGATGAAGGATGATGTGCGGGAGTGATGCACATGGGGAAATACTTTCAGGTGTGATTCGTTTGGCGCCTCATTTGTCTACACTTCTTTCGTTAAACATGAGAGAGACTGAATCTTGGGTGGTGGTGGTTTCATTTTCCCCCATTTCTGTTATTTCTGGCACTCGTTCAAAAGCCCTAAAGATCTCTTAGAAAGTACTTTCAAAAAAGAAGGTCAAGATGGACAACCTACAGATTTTTTTAATAAAAAAACCTGATACATACACAAACGGGGGGGGGGGGGGGCAGAATAAAAATATGCACATGCTCACACACATACAAACACACATCGGTCCCTCTCCCAAAAACTTTAAAAAAGCAAGGAAACATATGGGGGGGTGGATAAAGCCTCTCTGAACCAAGAGAACTACTATCAATTTTTTCTCTTCGAGTCCACCATGAGCAAGCAGCAGCAGCAAGCATCAAAAACAATTTGAAAGGGTGGGGGGAGACGGAGGAAAACTTTCCCCCAAAAATGGGAGGGGCAGAAGTCATTAAATAAAATAATAATAATAATCTCAGGGAAGCACTCTGGCCCCACAAACAGGCTGTCTGGCAGCAGCAGCAGCAAACATAATCGTAAGAAATTAGGAGGGGAGAATCCCACAAAAAGTCCAGAGGAAAAGCTCAAAAAGATCCACAGAGCCAGGCAGCACAATCAAGATGGCAGGCACCACAGAACTCAGCAGCACACAGAGCCTACACTCAAGGAAGGACTGAGGCAAAGAACATTCCTCCCTGGGTTCCAACCAACACAAGCCCTCAAACTCAAAATTCCCTCTTTCCCTTCCTGGACATTCTGGTTGGCTGCTGACAGCAACTCTCGTAACATTATTTGACTAAACATTTACCAGGCAATTTGACAGACAAGAGGGAAAGGAGAAGGAAATGAAAGAGGGAAATATGAAAGAACCCCAAGCGTTAGTGATCCTCTCTGCTGCTAAAACCAAGCATTTGGGTTTAAGAATCAACAAAAGAACATGAAAACAAAAGAAAGCCCCTTTCAAGATACTGTATTCTCTATTCATACTAGCACATAAATACCACACCTAATAGCCAGCTCCTACCTAGGCTGCTGTACTGGAAAGTATGAAATTATGGATTATGTCTATTCTAGGGCGATTATTTTTTGATGGTGGCAGTTACAACAGCATGCCATTACAATAGCCCCAAGGCAGGCAAGTGGGTGTGAAAGAGGGAGAGAAAGAAGAAGGAAAGCAGACTAGCTAGCTGAACTTGACATGAAGAGGTTGAAAAGGAAATGTAGAAATCATTTGAGGGTGGGAGTGGTATAGACATGAGACTGTTATCCTCTCTTCAAAGTGCATCTAAGAAAAAGATGGAAATATAAAAGTGTGCTGCTTATATATTGCTCCATCATGCTTCAAGCTCTCTCTGGGCAGTTTACAATTTAATTATGTAGGAGACACATTGCTCCCATCCCAGAAAGATGAGTACTCAATTTACCACTCTCAGAAGGATGGAAGGCTGAGTCAACCTCGACCCACGTACCTGAGCCCAGGATCCAACTCAGGTAATGAACAAAAACTTGTGCTGCAGTACTGCCATTTTAACCACTGTGTTACGAGATTCTTATGAAAGACACCAGATACTTAATGAGGTCCGTCTTAGTGAATCATTTGAGTATGCCTAATGGTGTAGCACTGACAAAACTCAACAGGCCTATGTGTTGGATCAGAAGACCCCTGGGAGCCCCATGTAGGAGTGTGATACAAGTAATACTCATATGCATGCACTTGAGCTAAACAGACCCAACAAACTGCACCACCTTTTAAGATTTCCTTATGAAAAACAGCCTATAAAATCACCCAGAACAAATTCTCAGGCAGAACTGATGCCTACATGTTCCACCTCTTCATTCTCATTCTCTACATTTAAAGGTCTTCCAATTTTCAAAAAAGGATAAGAAACGTTTTTATTTTTAAAAAGTATGGAAAGAATCCATAAATGAACCCATAACGGTAGAGGTGACTATGTAGTAGAGGACAGCTAATCTCTTTTCATGCACGGCAAAGTCAGAGGCACATCAAAGACCCTTTCACAGTGCAAGCTTATGTACTGAGATTCAGAAATAAGACCCACAGCATAACGTGGCTGACGCCGTTAAGTGTGTACACCGGTGGGTCCCCAGATGTTTTTGGACTACAACACCCAGAAATCTTGGTCAGTACAGCTAGTGGTAAAGGCTGCTGAGCGTTTTCTTCTGAGAGTTTTAGTTCAAGAACATCAGGCCACCCAAGGTTGAGTAATCAACTTATTTGTGTCAATTTCCTCTTTGTGGAATATTCTGATTAGGGGTGCAACACTTAATCCATTTTTCAGAACACTTGATTACAAAACACTTAAATGAATGAAAAACTGCCAACCCCCTCCAATATTATTTTCAAAAGAAGCACTTATAAAACCTGTAGTGGTAAACTCATATTAAGGGGTGTTCTCCTTTCTTCCACACCACGGAAGAATGATTCTTAAGATGTGGCTTTCCAGCATGCATGTGCATTGGGTGAAAACAAGAAAACATGCCCCTTGCTTTAGAAATATTTTTAACCAATATACAATTGACTGACAAAGCTTGTACAATGGCTGACTAAAATTTAGTTGCAGCCCATTTTTGAATAGGATTTTCATCCACCCCAAACACACCTTGCTTCCTACTCTAAGGCAGCCCGTGTTAACAATTAAGTCAGTGTCACTCATTACAAAAGAAGGAGCATACTTCTGTATCCTACTCCCCACAAGCAGTTCACAGTTGCATCAGCATTTCATTCAATTCCTTTGGACATAATAGTCAATAACCCTTCTTAACATTTAATATAAAACCATATCCTATGTGCTATCGAACATTCGGTTAGGACTGGCCAACAAGTCAGCCAAAAGTTACGGACAAACCGATGCAACATTCTATACTTCATTACAAAAGTTAGTTGAATTACTAGGAATTCAGACGTCACAGTGTATACTTAGCAGTTTAAATACATTGTGTTTACATAAGGTTCTTCAAGAAAACAATACAAAATGTGCAGAAATAAATGGGCAATGAGCATATGGGTTAAGGCAGCAGATTGCAACAGGGTCCTTGTAGCCACAAACGCTCCTACACCATTAGAGGGTGGCTGAGTTGATTCGGAGTGCAGGAAGCCAGCATTATGGCCGGGTGTACAGAGAAGCACGGCAGGCACCTCATGCTGTCCACACCACAGTGGGCGGCACAGAGTTGTGGGCCACAACTTTTACTGTTGCCACAGGTGGCACCAAGGCAGATTAGAGAGGCTATGGCTCAACCCAGTGATGTTTTCTGCTTGGATGCTAGAATATTTGACTACTGGCCCAAAGGGACAATTGGCCACCTCCACCACTGAACGCTGCATTGCTAAAGAGACTGCCCGATACACATAAAGAGGGGCTAGTGAACAGGATGGTGGTTGTACTTATTTGGGTAGTTTACCTGAATATTGATGTTATTTCAGAAGGATCGCAGAACAAGATACAGTAGGACCCCCGTGGAGACCGAAAACTGTGGATAATGGCAAACGTAATACATATCAGAGTCTCTGGCTCCCTCTACTGGCCAGTTCTGGTAACAACATAGTGGAAATACCATATCTGCCGGTGTATAAGGCGACTGGGAGTATAAGGCAGCCCCCAAACATTTCCATTCAGAATGTAGAGTGTTATATACTTGCTGTATAAGACTACCCCCTCTTCCGCATGCGTGATTCTGCTTTGGCTGCATCATGGGGAGAGTTCCTTTTGCCCCTTTTGGTTTCTTTTTGGAGGCGGCAGCCATTTTGGAGAGGCAGCAGCCATGTGGTCGCATCTCAAAATGGCTGCCACTTTTCTGCTGTTCCGACAGTCAGCTGTTCGGCGCTAGAGTCAGGCTGTTCCCAGGCTAGGAGCGGGGCTCTACTGGGTCTTACTACCAGGTAAGTGACTTCGCTGGGAGAGAGGGAGGGTTTGCTAGACATGCACCTGGCGTACAAGACGACCCCCCCACTTGGAGGCATCTTTTTCAGGGCCAAAAAGTCGTCTTGTACGCCGGCAAATACGGTACGTGTTTCTGGGACTTTTAATATTTTCAGGCTGCAGGTAAGTGAAACCGTGCATCACAATCCCATGTGTTATGGGAATTGTGATCCACAGTTTCCTACTGTGCTGAAGGCAGAGATTTACTTGGTTTGGATTACGTATATCTACACAACCTGCAAGTTGGCCTGAAAGCCACATTGCAAGACAGCCACTTCATGCAACAGCCCAAGACTTTCGCCTGCAATAACAGCAATATTCAGGTAAAATAAATGACCAATTCGGGATGATCCATAAAATGATTATAAAAGGACAACACTCTTCTTGAAAAAGTGATTAAGACTATGATTTTTGTTTATTTTTTGCAGGCGGGTGCAAGTAGTTTTACAGAGTTGATCATCTCAACTTTGCTGTTATTACTTCTGCAGCATTACACAGATACTGAGGTACATACAGTGTCTGTTAATCATTTCAAAACTTCTGCTAGTGTAACCATGAGGACTAGAAGGTTGTATATTTTAAAATAAGGTTAATAGGTGGGATTTTCAGAATTTGAACAGTGTCAAGGTACACAAGAATTAAGGAGTGCATGATGCATACCTAAATTTCATTACTTGTCATCATTGAACACCTTGAATTACTTGCCCTAAAAACCTTGAAAGTATCTAAAATCCACACCATGGATTTTAATCATGCATCTGTAACTGTCACTGTTCCCAAATACAATATGGTCCACGGTTATTTTGGTCCTGGGGGAGAAGGGGGGGAGGACATTAGGTAGCACACAACCCTGTTAGTGGTACTATCAAGAACGTGACATTTCTTTTTTCATTAAACATTTCACTATATTCCCCCAGCCTCATACAACTTTGGGAAGAAACAAAAATCTACAGCACCATCTTCTAAAAAGGCACTTTGAAGACTGTTTTGCTTTTTCATAAATAAATCTCCTAATATTTAGATGGCAGAACTGCTTTGCTTTTAAGCGTCTCTTTATATCTATGTACCTGCCAGAGGTCATTCAAATATGATTCTAATCTGGAAATGGGGCTGAGATACCTGAAACTGGCATTCTCCATTAATCATCTCTTACCTCCTGATATTCAGCTCCATTTTCAAAGAGTAGCTTTTCCCATCCCTCGGTCTGCTTTCTCATCCAAAACCCAGACCCTAAAGGCTATTTAAACCATTAGAGGCAACAAAATTAAAATTAAAGACAATCTGCACAGAAACCACAATGGAGTTTTCTGTCTCTTAACCATCTCATCTCTCAAGACAGCAGAATCAAAATCCCTGCAAATGTAATTATTTACAAATAAGTACCAGAATGCTTGCAAATAAGCCTGGAGTGAATTGTTCAATTTTACAAACAGGTTTTAAGGGCTCAACCTATGTTTCGTCTCCATTGCAGGACAACCTGCAAACTGCTTTTCTGAGACTTTGTTGTACTAGAAACAGCAGAGAAAAATCTGCCTGGTGTTTAACTTGTGACAACGACTGATAACACATGCAAACCATGGCCTGATGTTGCATCAATCAAACAATCAGCATGCAGGTGTGAACTGGACTTCAGTGAAAAATGAGAAAAATGTAGATCTGTCTCCATCACTCAGGGACACAAGTAAACCATCCCCTTTTAATGCCAATTTTCCAGTAACACGCCTGGAAAGGAAGCTAGTCTGGGTAATGTGCTAGGTGGATTTTTGGATCAGTTTTGCAAAGGCTTGGAAAAGTAATTTCCTCTCTGTTCCTTTTTTTTTTTAACTTCATTCAGTAAAGCTCTTTTTTTTAAAGTAGAAAATATTGTAAGCTTTCAGAGTGTTGCTGCCCTCAAAAAGCAGAACATGAGAGTTATATGTTTACCCACGACTTGATTCCTAAATTCAGGGTGTCTTGGAGCAGACGGACACTGCTGGGAATGCAGCTTGCCGTTTGGGGGGTGCTACTGGGAGAAGCCTCCCAAACTAAAGCTTTGAGAAAGAGCCTCGCTGTGGGTTTTGAACACGATTCACTTAAACACTCCTGGAGGTTTGGTTCTCCTCCTTCTTCTGAATTGAAACACCATGGTTTGAAAAGACATAAAAACACAACCTGAAAAGCTCCCACAGGATGAACCTTGAGGACTGGAACCTTTAAAAGTGCACCTCTTAACAGAGCTGCTGCCACCGAGCGCCTCCACAAGCCTGGCCCATAAGGTTGCCATGAATTTACTATTGCTAGCCATCAAAGAGTAGGAAGGATCGTTGCTCACACAAGTCTTGTTGAAAGGAATGGAGGTTGTGCCTGACAGATCGCAAGCCCTATGGCACCAGGGGAAAGCCGCTCTCCCCCTTTGGCAGACCACAATGCACCAGAGATGTATCGCTTCCGGAACCGGACTCTCGGCAACGCCAAGCACCTCTTGAGTAAGCCAAGCTTGGGGGAAATAGACAGTGGCACTTGCAAGCACAAGTGGGATCCGGGAAGAGTTGGATAAAAAGAGTCACCGTTTTAGGCAGGAACACGCGTACTAAAATCAAGGCCAAGCTGGACAGAGAAGGCCAGGAAAGAACATTAAATTCAAGAAAGCGTATTCTTTCTTTCTTTTTTTTAAACTAACAGCATGTACAAAAATAAAAGTCCATATACTCCTGTGAAATATATACTGGAAACTGCCACCACAGATGAGGTACCATTTATTTTACCCCCATCCCCTTTATCCACTGCAAACATCAAAATATATCTCTTTTTTTTAAAAAAACACACACAAAGGAAGAGTCCCTGGCTATTTCATAACCTTGGTTAAAACAGCACCCGTTGTTACATCACACGATTAAATTGCTTTTGAAACAAAACCGAAGCCGGAATACCACATCTTAAAAAGAAGCCTGATGACCTGCCCCTAGTGCAGTAATGGTTCACCTTCCATTTAAATAAATATAGCAGCTACAGTATTGTAAGAAGTGTGGCCCTCAATGCCAGGTAAGTTGATATTGTATTACAATGTTTTATCGGCACTTTATGAAGAACAGCTTCCAAAGTAGAATATGTTCAGGTTTTTTTGTTTTTTTGTTAAGTGACCAACTACTCTCCACATGAAAACTAACGCTTTAAACTCATGTTTAGAAAAGTGCTTCTCCAACAAGTTTTAAACTGGTTTTGCTTGCACTGTGGATGAGAATGCTGAACATAACAGAGAAGGCTGGGCTTTCTGAGCCACCCTTCTGGAGGGTTGAGGCAGGCAGGAAATAAATGGGATCGTGTGTCCTGATGTAAACATCTGAAAAGGGTGGATGGGGGGGTCAAATTAGGAAGTGCTTTGGGCGTGAGGATGCCCAGTAGAACCTCTAGAAATGTCAGTGGCTTGGAAGAAAATAAAACCACCCATGCCTCTTCGAGAATAACTGCAACAACTCTACAACGTACATTCATGTTAGTACTGAAAAACCTGACCTAAGCTTCAAGGGAGGTGCAGCGGGCTGACTGGACAGACAACATGAAGTGCATGTTGTTTTGACATAAAGGGATGATGGACAAAGGGGGTGAGGTCTGAATTCATTCATTATTCTCTATTCTGGATTTCCTGCAGCCATTTAATGCAAGAAAAGCCAAGGTAAATGCCCTGGAGTGTCAGGAGAACCACAGTTTTCTTTCATTTAATATCCTACCTCCCAGCAAAAGAGATTTCCTCACTGCAGTTCTTTTAAGTGCACCTTGATTCTTGCTCCGCAAAGGCTTCAAAAAGCACTGTACCATAATTTGACTGAAACTGAGAGTAAACTTTGCTACACTAAAGCACTCAGAGACCCTATGAGCAGCAGCGCATGCCTGCGCAAGAAAGTGTACAGTAGTACCTCGACTTACGAACATCTCCACTTGTGAACGTTTCGAGTTACAAACGGCTCCGTTCACAAAATGTTGCTTCGACTTGGAAACGGAGCATCGACTTACGAACGAAAAAAACCTTTCCTGCCCTTTTTTTGACCTAAGTTCATCTTAGGTCAAAAGAAGAAAAAAAGTAAAAAAAAAATCTCCCCCTAGTGATAGAGGACGGATGAACCAGCTTTTTATTAGTTCCTATAGGAACTAAAGGCTCTACTTACAAACAGCACCTCGACATATGAACGAAAAACATTGAAATGGTTTTCAATGCATTCCTGTGGGAAATCTTGCCTCAACTTATGAAATTTTCGATGTACAAACGCCGTTCCAATACGGATTAAGTTTGTAAGTCGAGGTACCACTGTATAGAAGGCAGTACTTTGTGTTTTTTTGGGGGGGGAGGCAGGCGGGTGGGGATAGGCTGGGATGGAGAAAAGAGAAATAGCAAAGGCTTGTGTATTCTGGAGCAAAATGGGCTCAGATTTTTCAGCTCAAAATACAGTAAAATAGGGCAAACAGTGGCTTGCTTAAAGACAGCGCAGAGTTAAGCAGGATGCTGCAACCGATTCAGTGGTTTTCATGTGGAGAATGGTTGGTTTATTTCAACAGGGCTGGGTTTACGAACAATGCCCATAGGAACCTCTCTGCATATATACTATAAAACCAGTGCAAATAAAGCAGTCAAAATGCAGTTCATGTGTTTACAAAGTGCAAAACAACCCCAAATCCCTGCTACCGAGTCAACACGCTCACTTTCCAACGTCTCGTTAAAACACTTTTGCTTCAGCTTCAAAGTGGAATGAAACAAAACGAGGTCCATTGATCTGATTCACATTTCAGTGATCTTCTTTAAGAATATTCCCAGCCCTCTGAGCTTTATTGGTAAATGACATGAAGCGCTCAGTTTCAAAAGGAAAGTCTAGACAATCCAAAATTGCTTTTTAACCGTTGTGGTCTTTTCCTCGTTTGCCCCAGTTTCATCTGAACAGAATTAAAGACCTAGACATCCTCTGTGCCGGAGGGAAAAAAAAACCTATGGCCACCAACCGCAAGGAGTGGCAGAGCCAAATACCTTAGGTTATAAGCCAGTATTAAAGCTTGCAGACTGGACTGCTAGCAGCATGAAGGGGCTCTTGGTTCTTGATTAAAAAGACTCCCCCACCCCAACCCCCAAGACTTTCCTTTCAAAATTAAGGCTAATTTTGTCCTCTTAAGTGCACGGACGTATCCATTCTCTCACTCAGAGGCGGTGCAAAAACACTGCTGCTCGTATACAGCAGAAACAAACCGTTTCTCTCCTTTGCAACAGCTTATTGCACTAAAAGATAGCAAAAAAACAAGTTGTCAGTTCGTTTCAACAAAACAGTTGCTTTTAAACATTAAAAAAAAATTGATGTTGCCAGTACACAGATTTAAATTAAAGCATTATTACTCTAATAAATATAAAAGAGAAAGCTAAACCTCAAAGTACATGTATATATAGACATAGATATATGCTATCACTTTAAAGTGAAAGGCAGAAAGTCAACTAATCTCTGTGCTGTCTTTAAAAAAAAAAAGAGAGAAATCTCAACTCTTAGTATCAGTATTTGAGTGGTGACATGCCACCCAGCGAAATGGCGGAAACTGGCAGCACGAGAAGCTCAGAAGATATACGCACAGCACGCAAGATGGGTACTAGCTGGACCTTCCAGACAAGGAGAAAGCAGCAGCTGCATTAAATTCATTGGGTTGCATCGCTAACTGCTGGCATAAAAGCATATGATTTAGTTTTGTTAGAGAAAGAGACTTGAACCTAGCAAATCCAAAATATGAAGACAGACACAAAGGGTAGCAGCTAGATAGACTAAATTGGGATGGGTGGTCTGTGTGAGCAAACCACCCATGTCCTCTCCCACACAGTATCCTCCGGGGCTGTTCCCTCAAATAGACACTTGAGGCGGTCACAGTCAAGTGCCGACGACCACGGAGCAGAAGCCGTCTGCAACCCACAGGGGTGAAAAATAAAACAGAAATGTTTTTGCACGTTTTCCTTCCCGAACATCTGTGCCCACCCCACTTAACAATCACTTCTGATTGTTCCTGTAAGCTTTAATACCATAATAATAATTTTGCGCTTTTTTTTTGCTTTTGCTTTTCTTTCTTTCCTTTTTTTTTGCAGAAAGAGTTGTGCTGCTGAGCAACTTGAGGTAAAGGCATAAAAAAGGGTTTGACTATCAGAAGAAATACCAACAGACAAAAAGGAAGAGACAATAACAATGAGGGCAGCGCTACCCATAGGAGGCTGCTTCGAAAGCAGTTGGCTGGTTTCATATTGCATAATAAGTGCCGTGTTCTCGGTGAAGTAAACAATCTTCCTTGCATCAAAGCAAGGATAAGGCCGACCACCCCCACCCCACCCCAGCTTCACCAGTGGCAGAGATAACCCCCCCCGCTCCCCACGAACTGACCGCTATGGAAACATACACTGTATGTGGCTTAATTCTGCAGTCCTTCCTTTTGTGAATACGCTCCGCTCTCACTGAATTTTTTTTGTTTTGTTTACAATTAGGCAAAGTACATGGTGCGTAAGGTGTCTTGGTGAATCTGTACAGCCTTCGCAAGCGCCTGAGGATCTCTTCCGTTGCTCTGTCCTGAAACATGGCTTCCTTCGGCACTGCAAGGGTTAAAACAGAGAGAAGTGTCTTAGCAAACCTCCTGATAGCTGAGGAGGAGAAGGGGACGACAGAGGACAAGATGGGTTGGACAGGGTCATCAAAGCTACCAACATGAACTTGACCCAACTCCGGGAGGCAGTAGAAGACAGGAGGGCCCGGCGTGCTCTGGTCCATGGGGTCACAAAGAGTCGGACATGACTTAACGGCTAACCAACAACAACACGTATAATGGCCACGAAAGCCTTCGCGAATACAACATGTATAATGCTGAAGGCTTCCCACGACACCTCCGCAGAGACCTGGTGCAGGTTGACAAAAGACATGCGTATTATCATTGCAGGAAGCTCTGGTGTGCCATGACTGAGCCTCAATTCTAATTTTAAAGCAAATTCTGGCTTTTGCAAATGAGAATTCAAACTGGCTCCGAGCAATGAGCGTCACATCACCATCCTTTCAGCGGCTTCCCTGCTCACAGAGTTCCGCTCTGCCCACTTTGAACCACGTCCACGTAATGGTTTGCTGCTTGGGAAGGGGGAGAAAGGGAGAGTGTGGTGCCCCAGAGGGTGGATTCTACAGCTGGTCCTCTATGTCACATGCAGATCTGTACATGGATGCACTCACACTCCCTTCCCTAGAGTGCCCAGGGCTGCTAATACATAATTTGTCTTTCTATCTACATTAAAATAATAAATACGAGCACTGGGGACAAGCGGCCCCTCCCCCCCTTTTGCAGACACTGTTCTTCTTAAAGGAGCAGAAAAATGCCTAAACAGGATAACCTTTGAAATCACAATGGGCTTCAGAGTTTATGAATAGGCTAAAGGGGGGGGGGGTTAAAGACGGAAGACACATATATGGGGCTGCCAATTACTTTTCAGAAAGTAGGAGGAGGCCAGGAGGCAACACCGCACAGGGGAAGACATGCATGCTCAATAATCTCACAAGAAGGTCAACCCTCTGGGTTTTCATGCCCAGACCTCAAAGCAAGCCGCCCAGATGGCTCTCGTGCCTGACCACGGCACGGCGGTCACTGACGCAATCACCCTCTGGGTTTTCATGTAAAAAAGGTTTTGGCAAGCCGCCCAGATGGCTCTTGTGCCCGACCACGGCACGGCGGTCACTGACGCAATCCTCACCTGTCATGTTCCTTGTCCACGAGGTGGTATCTTGCTCTGAACGCCACCAGGTGAGCATAATAAGCTGGTGCAGGGATAGACACGGACCGCGTGCAGCGTACATAGGTGTGGCAGAGCTGGTAAGTTAGCAGCTGAAGTTCATCCGCAGTAAAACAGTTATCATCCCACAAGACGTGATAATGGGAGGGACGGCTGGTACCCTAAGGGAACGCAACAGGAGGCCCAAAGGACCAATTCACCACATAGGTACTACACATTGTTGTTTTTATAAAAATCTAACATTATAGCAAGGACGTCTGCTTGTTGGAATAGGCAAGGGAAAAAGAAGCAAACGGTAAAAGCAGACGTCCAGCCATTTTTGGTTTCAGTAGGTATAGAAGGACAGGATACTTACCTGACCCTGTGGTTCTTCCGAGTGGCCATCTGTGAATTCACACATTTGGGTTTCCTCTGCACCTGCGCAGAAACCTTTGGAACATTCGAGAGCCTTAAAAAGTGTGTCTGTCCACACTCTGCCCATTGAGCTTGATGCCCACCCTGTAGCTAATCCTCGGTCCCTCCAGCTCCCGGCTCATTGAAATGTGAACTAGCATGGCCGGCTGAGGGAAGGATGAGTGGGATGTGTGAATTTACAGATGACTCCTCAGAAAACTACAGTCACAGGTAAGTAACCTGACCTCCTCCTTTGGGGTCTCTGTGGATTTGGGTGACGGACAAGCTCACCTACTGGCTTGTAAGGATGCCATACAAGAACAGAAAAAAAACGACTGCTCTGTAGAGGAAACCCCAATGTGTTGATTCACAGAGACCACAGAGATGCACTGGAAATGACCACCCTTGCTTTTCTTCATGGGGGCCCGACACCAGCTGACTTCAGTTTAGAAAATGCAACCATACTGGCTGCTATTTGTTTTTTGTTTTTTTCCTGCAGCAGCAAAATGGGACACAAATAAATGCCAAAGCATAAGCTGAAGCTGCAAATGGATAGACTGAGGAAGTTTCCTGCTGAACGGCTTAAAGCAGGTCTTGCCTGCTTGTCTTTTTAGCCTGGGTAGTTCAAGGAGTGTAGGCTTTCCACTCCCACCGGGGGCAGTGTCACTAAGTGGTGCTAAAGATCAGGAGCTGAAGCTATGTGTTTTGTTCCTTACCTGTATTCCTGCATGGCTACAGAGATAAAAATCAAATTCGTAAGGATGTGTTATATCTGTATCTACTGTTGTTCCAGCTGGGATGTTCCCACTTCTTCCAACCTAATGAGAAAAGAAAAGGAAAAAAAAGTAAAAATGATTAGCATGTAAATTCTTATAACAATTCTTAGAAATGAAAAAAGGTGCAGCAAAAATTACTTCCATTTGCACCAATGTTGTGAATTCACTTCTCTATTTAAGAGAAAAATTAGATGTAATCCTTATATTACACTTAAAGGGTGCTGCTTCTATACCTCCCTCCCCAGCAACCTGGGTACTCAGTTTACTGACTTTAGAAGGATGGACGGCTGAGTGTACCTTGAGGTGGCTACCTGGGACTAAACCTGGGAGGTGAGTAGAGTTTTGGCTGCAGTACTGCAGTTTAACCATTGTGCCACGAGGCTCCTTTAGCAGATCATTGGCCATCAGTTAACACAGAAACATCATTTTCAATTGTCAACAATGCAAGCTTACTATCCATATAAACAATGCTGTTCTGGCAGTTTTATTAAAGGATAGGCTATAAACTGTTAAAATGAACTATAACTATATTTTTAGAAAACATTTAAAAGGTTATATGGAGTTTAATGAGCATATTCTACATTTTATATCAGACACCTTTTCATTTATTTTATTTATATAAAGTGTAGGGTGCCCTTCATGATGAAGTTTTCTACACTGTTTACAGATGCTAAAAGTACCACAAAACAAAAGAAAATAAACACCATTTTCCAATAAAAAATATACTTTCAAACAGAACAGAAGAAAAGAAACCTGACAGCAACAAACCAATGTAAAAGTGAAGTGAAGCTGAAGTGAAGTGAAGCCAGAGGATTAAAGAAGCATGAAAGCATAATGTTACCTGAAAGTCATGACAAAATAAAAAAGCATCTTTGTTTGTTACCAGAACACAATGGCCACAATCCTGCGTTCACTCAAGGTTTAGGCAATTTACTGCTGCTAATTCTGGCTAACAGATAAGATGACTAGCCAGGTTGATTGCGCAACCCAGATCTAACAGGACACCTTGTCGATTAGCAGCATTTAGCCACAGAGAGTTAGGCAAGCCTTATGTGCAAGTACCAACAACATTCCACACACTGCATTTCTGAAAGAAGGCCAATGCAAATCCAAAATGCTGGTAATTAAAACTTCACTCTTCCACAGACACCCACCATACTTGACTAAGTATGAGTGCTGAGAGAAAGGTCTGAGATGATGATTCATTCATTTCACCACCAGGGTTGATGCATGTGGGGAAAAGTGGGCAAAGTGCAACCCTTCTGGCCGCCTCTGGTTCTTTCCCTGGGTCCTATTCCCTGCACTCATGTAGAGATTACAGTACACAGAATTCTGCAGGATTTTGCAAGAACTCTAAGGTGCCATTTTAAAGGCTAAGAGTGATAATGATGGTTACTGTAGGTTTTTCAGCCTTCAGAGGACAGGAGTTAGAACAGGAACTCTAACTCCTGTCCTCGGAAGATGTCAGCCACAGAGACTGGTGAAACGTTAGAAAGAACCACCTCCAGAACACAGCCAAACAGCCCGAAAAACCTACAACAACCATCGGATCCTGGCCATGAAAGCCTTTGAGAATACAATGATAAGGATATTTTCTTCGGCCATCTCTTTGAAGGCAACACCACTGCAAAGGGACTAAAGCTTACCCTTTCTGTCCTGTCAGCACAGAAAAGCCTCGTATGATGCCTCTTCTGAACCACAATATATGTGATGCCCGGCTGGTAGTCCTTCTCCAGACTGATACAGGCCTCTCTGATTGCTAGCAGCTCATAATACAACACCTATAATTCAGATGCAAAAGGGCGAGTTTACTCTCAAACAGCAAATACATCAAGATGTTTACATTGTTTTCATTCTGAGAAGCCCACACTTGGATTCTCAAACTATGGTTTTCATTACTGCCCATAAGCAAACATAGTAGGTACAGTTATCGGAGAGGGATCAGCAGTTAGACAGAGAAATGTTGTTGAGAGCAGGAGTAAACAGATAATTGCCACAACAGATGGAAATAAGACCCACAGTCCACTAAAGTTCATTATTCAAATGGATGCATTTTAGTTTATTCAAGTACCATCTATAGTTAGGGCTGAGGTGCCCAAGTCTTCCAATGGTGTCATATTACCCTGGAATAAACAAAGGAAAATGCTAGGAAACTCCTTTTTGAAAAAGCAGCCCAAGGGGCCGTTCTAAGTTTTCACAGGCTTTCTCCCCCCACCCCAAAATTAGGTGTGCTCCTAAAAGATAGGCACAGAATTTTTAAAGCTATCTCATACACTATGGCTGCTTTACTACACAATGCTATTTTTACATTTCCCGTTAGCTGTTCCAAAGACCTTTCAAGATCAAATACATGAGCTACACATTGTACAAAGCAAGTAATTAAGACCTGTCGAAACTGTCCTTCTGATACTCCGTCTCGGTAGAAGATGATTCGTGTGGGTTTGAAACGTGTTGACTTGTAGAACTGAATAAGAAGCTCTCTAACCATGGAGGCCAAATCTTGGATGATCTCTTGGCGGGGTTTTTGAACTCTCACTGTGGCACAGTACCTGCTTGGATGGGCATCCATGCTACCTACAACCTAAAGACAAGAAAAGGGCACAAAGACGGTGATTCCACAAGAATAAGGCTTACAAAATGCCTCCTGTCATCAAGGGAAAGAGATACGGTTCTATCGTAAAGGGCATCATTTCAGCCTTTAGAAAGTGACAAAGAAATGACTGCAGGCTGTTGAAAACCATTTATATTATGGCTTGTTTTCAGAATGGATTGTTGTATATTTATGTGAGAGACCTTAACAGATACTATGTACTTGCTAGAATCTTCAAAACAGAATTTCTGTTTGCCTATTTTAAGTACGCTGGTGAAAGAATGATAGAATAATGTGCTACTTCAAAGACTTGCAGTTTCATTTCAGTGTCGGCTTTTGTGGATCAAACTCCAACAAAATACAAGAAAGTGGATTTTGACCCACAAACATTCACAGTGAAATTAAATTGTGAGTTTTTAAAGTGTTATGTTATTTTTGCCTTCCCTCCCCCCTTTTTGCCAATGTACTTCCTCTGTAGAAGAAAACTCAATGGGCTGTCCTTTATCACTCCTTGATAGTTAATCCCCTCTTATGGCACAGTAAACACTTAACCTCACAGCACTGGGGATACTAATGCATGGGTGAGTGATCTTGGTAGGGCTGAGGCCCATTTTGTTGGACCCGTCAGCAACCCAATTACAATCCTCTGACCAAGAATGGGCTAATGGGAGTTGTGCGATCAAAGGAGGTCGCTTGCACATTGATGATGACGATGTTGGTAAAGGTTCCTGTCATTGGTTTCTATCTGCTGAAATCCTGCTGCTCAGTGTAGCAGTTTTGTGGACCTTACAGAGGAGGTGATGTGCTGAAACCCCACTGCTCTACTTGCAATGCACTATGCAAAGCAACAGAATTTTGGCCATTAATTGAAAAATGGGTTTAACTTTAAAAAAATTTTTTAAATCCATTCTGCCTTTCAGTGACCCAGATTTCAAGAACTGAAAAAATGAAGGGTGTGCAAGGACCTTTGGGTGCTGATAAGCTATCCAACCATGGCCAAACTGCCTTGCTCTCAAACCTTCTAATGCTCAGTGACACACCACCCCCTTTTGCAGTGTCAAACCAGAAGGTGCAGGACTCCAGAGAATCCCCTTTTCTGACACAGAGTTTCCAACCTTCCTTCTGTTGTCAGAAACTGTTCTGCTTGAAATCCACCCACGAAGAGGGAAGGCGGAGCCTGTGCAAACACTGGGCGTGCTAAATAAACCCAGCTGGTTCATAATAACACCAATGCACCTCTTGAGCCTAAACCACTCTGGACATCTTTTTATATCAGGGAACAGATACAACATCCGGAGACCAACTGGAAAGGAAGAATGACTGAGGCAAGAGTCAGGGGCCTAGTTAAGGAAGTCTAACCTCCCAAAGCATGTCCCTCTCCCCGCTCCCTCAGCCAAGCATTTTGACAGAAAACGAGCACAGTAATATCCATGCAACTTACAGCAGCAATGGAGGGCTTCTTTCCATCCCCAGCGGGCGGATGGGTAACATCTGCTCCCAAGAATATCACTGGTTGTTGGAACACAGACGGTCTTTAAAAAAAAGGGACAAGTCAACCTCAACCCCAGTATTTGTCTACCTCACTGCTCAGTAGGTCCTGCGATTATTCACCTCGTGTTCTGGAAGATAAGAAAACACTCCTGCCATGTCCCGACAGAGCCTAAAAGGTCTTCATGGCTACAATCAACCTCCACATTCCTGTACGCGACCTCTTGGAATACTCTGATTTGTAGTGGAAACTCTACGAAAGGGGAGTTTATAGTAAAGACTCTGCCCTTGGCAGACCCTATGCAAAACCCAGGCTCACATAGAACCACTGGGAGTCACAATTACCGTATTTTCCCGTGTATAAGACGCCCCCACTTTTCTAATCCAAAATTAGGAAATCTAAGTGGGACTTGGCAAGTGTAGGGGGAAAGGGATCAAAGCGCTGCAGGATCGCTTTGATCCCTGCTTTCTCCTCCACTTGTTTTTGTTCTCTCCTCAGCTTACTTCCATGTATAAGACGCAGAACCACTGGGAGTCACAATTATCGTATTTTCCCGTGTATAAGACGCCCCCACTTTTCTAATCCAAAATTAGGAAATCTAAGTGGGACTTGGCAAGTGTAGGGGGAAAGGGATCAAAGCGCTGCAGGATCGCTTTGATCCCTGCTTTCTCCTCCACTTGTTTTTGTTCTCTCCTCAGCTTACTTCCATGTATAAGACGACCCTCAATTTTTATTCTAAAAATTTTAGACTAAAGTATAGTCTTATACATGGAAAAATACGGTATGTACTCTGGGCAGCCTTTTCTGAAGTCACTCAGAAATAATGTTCTAGGTTCCTAAAAAACGACACTTCAAATCATCTTGGCAAGCTAGAAAAGGAGGCTGCTAGGAAACAGGAGGGGCAGCAGAATCGTCTTGTGTGACCCAACACCAGATGAAATCCTAGAAGACGTCCTAAGAAATGGAGATGGAGAATGACTAGAACAGACTATGGTGGCCCTGCACCGAATAGGCCAGGATGACTCCACACAGCTCACTTGGCCAGGTCTCAATAATACACATCAGCTCTGTTTTATCAGCCACAAAAAAATCATGGATGAGAACTGCCTGACATTTAACAACAGAACTGCAAGGCTAAAAGGCACAATGGATGAATGACAGGGAACCTGGAAAAAAAGGTGAGAAATATTTTAATGCGAAGAAGGCATTCTTACCGTTGATGAGGTACAAGGATATTGTTGATTCCTCCCAGTTTTACATTTATCTTTAGGCACAGGTTTGAGAGGGTTTGTGGAGATGTTTTTATGACATTCTTGACTTGAACACACTGCGTGGCCATCCCCAAAAGGGTGTCCCCCACACGCTTCACTTCCGCTGAGAAAAAAAAAAAGCATTGACAGAAAAGGACTTGAGTGCATGGTGGGACAATCCTAACTCATCCTGCTGGTTTATCTAAATTACGGCTACCGTTTTCGGAGGCCGTTTCCGACATGAAGAAAGCAGCCCGATTGCACAGACTAATATGGCTACCTCTTCTACATCTGGAACAAACTTAAGTCACATACAGCTTTCTGATTATTTACCATACACCGGCGTCTTCCCTGGTAGAATAACAATGATGAGCTGGAGCCCAGAATAGGTGTTCTTGAGATGCCGGAACATGGGCTCCACGCTGTCCGCACCTTGTGCATATTTGCAGAAGCACGGCTGGCCCTGGATCGGCATCCCCGCGTCCTTGGAGATTTTGCGCAGCTGGTCTGTAAAACCCCTGGCAACAAAATGAGATCACTGTGAGGGAGAAATACGACAACCCACGCTGAGAGCCTCTGCATCCAACAGACCTAAAACACATGCACCCACCACCCTCCAGCATATTTCACTTGGGGACTAACACGGTGATTCTCAACCTTGGGTAACCCCGGGGTGTTCTTCACCAGAAGCTTTCACCACTAATTGTGCTGGCCGGGGTTTCTGAGAGTCGCAGCTCAAAAACATCTGGGTAACCCAATGTTGGGAACCCCTGGACTAAGAGATCACATCCTTCACTCCTTGGTCTGCAGCTTTCATCTGGGCTCAGCATTACTGTGCTATTGCAACAGTTTCCAAAAATATGTACTTGCCAGTCTGTTTTGTGTGTTCTGTGGCATCAAGTCAGAACCAATTTATAGTGACCCTAATAGGATTTTTAAGGTAAATGGGACATTTAAGGAGTGGTGTTGGCAATTCTACTCCCCCAAGTGAATTTCCTTAGCTGAGCGGGGATTTGAACCGTGCTCTCCAGAGTCCTGGTCCCTCACTCTATCCACTACACCACACTGGGAATCCCGAGTCTGTTTTAGCAAAAACAGTACACTGGCATCTGGAATACTAATAAATTCATTTTAGTACAAGCTCTTCTGGATGACAATGAAATAAGTAAGGCATTTTTGCTATTATTTATTAATTGCAAGTACAATTAATGCTCACAAGGACGTATTTTAACTAAAATTTGAAGTAATCTCAAACTGAGGCTTCAAATGCCAATGAAAGGTGATCACAAGCTGGCATTCACCCTGGTTAGCAATGCCACTGAGACCTAACCATAGAGAAGGCTAGTTGATGTGCCCAATCAAGAGGAAGGGCTAGGGTGATGCAACATGCCAGATGCAAGGAAGTGGGATCAGGAAACAGGTATCTAGTTGTCTTGTATGCTCCCCGACGCATTTGGTGGGGCCACTGTGAGATACACGAAGCTGGACTAGATGGGCCTCTGGCCTAATCCAACAGGGATATTGTTATGTTCTTATGTAACATGTTGTCACATGGCCCATACCCTTGGGCAGGTATCAGGGATCAACAATTTAACATATGTGTAGCATCTTACACCTGCAGTCAAGAACTCAAGAGGACAGAGATATGTCAGTGAAAGGCCTTGAGAACTCTTTGCTGTACCTGTCTGAATTGTAATCATGTCTGGAAAATGACCCAGAGAACTTCAGGAATAAACAATGGAAACAGGCAAAATGGACTATCAGAAGGGAAACAACTTTGGGTAGCAAACAAAGCACAGAACTCACACTCTTCCCCCACCCCCAGTTTTTTCCAGTCTGTGATCAGCAACGCCATGAGAAACACACAAGATGAGGAGAAAAACTCACTGTCTTAACACCTGGCTTACTTTAATATTTCTTCACGGCATTGTCTCTGCGTAGCAAAGCAGGCAATGGCCCACATCTTGATTTCCACACCGGTATGGAACTGCTTCCCTCGCATATCCCACACACCATGGCTGGGTGTCGCCACTGTCCGATTCTGAGGAATTTAAAAAAGAATCAGATTTTGAATCAAAAATCATACAGTGATCCACACATGGGAAACCCACACCCTCTGCATCAGTAGGTTATCCCACAGAAGTATAAGCCCAGACGATTACACGAAGGCAGAGCTGTTCATCAAGAGCAGCCAAATTTACAAGCTCATCTAACACTGCACCAAGATAGAAACAAACAAGGGTGCCTTACCCGCCCTCCGTACTGTAGCATGGGAGCTGGGAGCACACGGCCGGTCACGTGAGCCATTTCATCACGGACTTTAAACTGAAATTCCTGAACAAATGGGTCTGCATCGTAATTTGCACTTCTCACCTGGGATATATATTTTTTTAAAAGGAAGAAGAAGAAAAAACAGCCTTGTTGAATAGAGGAATTTGCAGCTACAGAAGATCTAATACAGTTGTCACCACTTTAAGCCAGAATTCAACATTATATTCACCGAGGAATCCCTTGTCACATTTTTACTATTTCACTCTCCACATGTTCATATATAAGACTGAGCACTTGTAACAAGGCCCAGACAGCTCAGCGATGCCCATTTCCTAGACTACGATTACACAAAGAAAGCAAACATCTTTTACTGGGCTCCAAAGAGATCTGATTTTCCCTGCAAGAGAACATACCCAAGTGCTTCCAAATTCAGATATCCCATTAATGTAGGAGTTAGAGATATCTAAACCACAGACTAAGGCATCTAAGGCAAAATAATTAATTAATTAAAAATCTAATGGGAAATATAAATTTTGGTCCTTCCAGGTTACTTGACAAAACCCTTTTCTAATTCAGGAATAAACTAACCAGCCTGCTGATTTCTTCCTGTCGATCCGGAGCTGATCTCGCAGTTGCTTTGATCATAGTTGATGTCTGATTGTCTGTTAACTTCTTGATGCATCGCTGGCCTGCCACGATATTACAAACCTGTAACAAATACGACACGTCACTCAAACAATACAGATTTCTTCTTTCATTGCGGAGCCATGCTTCTGAATGCAGTGGATTTGTGAACTAAATGAATCTAGCTTGTGTCGTGCTAAAAGGTCCAGTAACAACACTGGAAACCTATGCACAGAATAGAGTCATTAGTGCAAGAGATCTAGATTTCATTCTTTATAGGGCACATTCTAATGGGTAAGTGCTCCAACTGAACATGGAAAATAGTTATGTCCTATAAGCCTGACTACTATCTGGCATGAGCTGCACTGCAAAATCTTATATAAGTTATGGGAGTCCTATAGGCACTGTTTCTCAAATCAGTGTGGAAAAGCCCTTGGGAACAGAGTCATTACAGAACAATGCCCACATGGCCATTTGCGTTTCACACTGCTTCAAGTGGATGTTCTGGAAATGTCTGTCAAACACCTCAGGCTTTTCAGAGAACCAACGGGTAAAAATGTAAAGACCAAAATCCTATTCAATATTTATGTACATACAGAAAGACCCACAGAAGGTGCCATGGCTAAGTGCAGCTAATTGCCAATGGGCAAGGCATGGGCCAGCTTCATGACTGGATCTGAAACTGACACGTGACCAGCACTTCATCAATTAGCAGCAGCCTTCTCCTACGTGTGCACCTCCCCAGTAAGATCCCTATTATTATTATTATTAATTATTAATTATTTGTGTGTACCTCCCCAGCAAGATCCCTATTTATTATTATTATCATCATCATCATCATCGTCATCATCATTTTTATTAGTATTCACAAGTGTTTTATACTCCTCACTGATTAACACATGCTTCTTGGTGTAAGCTTTTGTGGACCTGAGTTCACTTCATCAGATGCACAAAGAACAGAGATACACACAAACATATGGAGAGATCTGTTTTTCAAAGCATATACGAAGCTTGAATGTTTCCAAGCAAAGAATGATTATCAAAGGTTTTATAAAATCTTCTGGGCTAAAAGAAGAAGAAGAAAAAGGAGAAGAAAATAAAAGCTGAAAGGCTCAGTACTGTTTGGTGCACATAGAGAAAAAAAAAAGAATAACAGAAGGAGGTCAGGTATAAATTACTTCAAGAGGCAGGTAGGTGTGTTTCTGCTCCTGGCCCACTTGTAGGCAAGGAAGGTGAGGGTATTTCAGTTGCAGGCTGTACTTCTCTCTGAAGTACTGGGCTACGGTTCTCTCCACAGTCTGGCCATTTTCTAACTGCAATGGGAAACTGAAAAGACAACGTATAAGTAAATCAAAACAGAAGCAAGAGCTTCTGTGGTGTTCTTTTCTTCTACACCTTCATTACTACAGCCAACGCTTCTAATTTCAAATGACCCCTTACGTTTGATGACTAGCTGGTCTCCTCGTCACATTACAGACACGGTACTTCCGTCTCATTGTTCCACAGTGAGTCACTTCAACCTTCAGACCTGTGTGAAAACAAAAGGCGAAAGTAACATTGACAGAAAAGAAGGGCTAGATCCATAGAGGCTGTGCAATTGAGACAAAAACAGTAGGACTAAAAAAAAAAATCCTATAAACAAAGTATATGCAATAACAGAATTTATCTTTTCCTTCAGAAAAATGTGTCTGTGTAGATGTTACACTACACACCACAAAACTAATAAAAATGGTCCAAATGATATTTCAGGTGTAGCTAATCAACTCTATGGCTTGTTTTGCTAGGGCCCTGAATACCTGAAGGACCGCCTCCTTCCATATGAACCTACTGGGCAGTTAAGACCTAGCCAGGGGGCCCTTTTGAAAGAGCCATCCCTCAAGAAGGCAAGAGGGATGGCTTGTAGACAAAGGGCCTTTTCGGCAGCTGCCCCCAGACTATGGAACGCCCTCCTCCCAAGGGAGATTCATCTGGTGCCTATGCTGATGACATTTCGGCACGAGGTCAAAAACTTCCTGTTCCAGAAGGCTTTTAACTAACATAATATCAACTGTGGGTCTTGATGATGGCAATTTTTAGAGTATATATTTTAATTATTTTATCTTTTTTACTGTAGTTAAATTGCTCTAAGCTGCCCAAAGACCTTTGGTTAGTGTGGGCGGCATATAAGTTAAATAAATAAAAATAAATTAATTAAAAGTGAATACAAAGAGATTGTGTTACATGGCAAATAAAATTATGCTTTCACTATAATCTATGCAGATTAGTTTGCAAACTATGGAACTTGTTCTTGTCAGGAACCAGCATCGAAGGAACAGGAAGAGAACATTAGAGGTAAGGAGTGGCAATACTGAGATGAATTAGCTAATGAAACAAAGATGCAAAAGGAAAAAAAGGCTTATTTCTGCTCTTTGGAAGCTTCCAGGAACAATGGTTTAACTTAAACAGTTCCTTGAGCTCGCTCATTTCTGCCTCAGACTACGGAATCTTTTGGGAACATCTATTCAATGTGAGGCATTGCAGAATGCCTCACATGTGTTGAGGTGAAAATTTTCAAAAATTCAAATTCATTCCCAGAGTATCTATTCTACAGATACAGATACATATGTGGTACAAAAGATGAAGCATTGTGGTAGGCAGTTTTAACTAGCACTCCTCTGAGATTCAGGATGATTCAGCACAAGAAGAGAAAAAGCTTCTAAAAGCAAGACGTGCGCGCTATTCTATCTAGCTGAGGGCTCTTTTCTACTCACCTTTTATCTCTTTGGTGAATTTTACCCGGTGAGAATCAGTTAGAGGCCGTGGCTGCTCATCAATGTTGTGAATATCAAGAACTTCACACATGAACTGAATTACAGGTTGTGCTTTGTAGAAGGCAGTGGCAGAAACTAAGAGAAAATGTAAAAAAAAAACAGTTAAGAAAATGCAGGTTGCCAAGGCTTTTGAGAGAAAAGCTACCTTTTTGAAAACTAAAAATGGTCTACATCACGCAACAGTCAATTCTGCAAATTGGGTTTTCAAAGCTAACCTGAAATTTTGTTAAGTTTGGGAACACTCTTCTATCCCACACTCCGGATTTAAATTTGACTCCATGTTTTCATGAATTCAGGGACAAAATACAGCTTTCTGGTTCCTCAGCTTTTAGTTTAATTTTTTTAAAAAATGTTTTTGACCATCAGGTTTCAAAAATGTCCAATAATATTTCCAGATTGTGTGAAACCTCCAGCACACAACTCATCAACTCTCTCCATGAGAGAAGTAAAAACAGAACTGTGCAAAACAATATACTTTTAGCACAAGCTATGCCAAATAAGGACAAATATACATTCAATAAAATATGATTAACTCCAGTTCCAATTAGATTTAGCTTTGTTCAGTTTCTCCCTGGGAGGCAAAGGGCACCCAACATGCAGAAACATATTCATTACCATGCAAATGTCTTTGTTTGCCTGTTGGCCAACGGTCTACTCTAACACACCACACAACCTATTCAGATTCTACAAGCAAGCAATTCAGCAAACCTGTTAATCCAGTGTTCTAACAATGACTTACCAGGTACCCAGAAAAGTTTAAACAATTATTTGTTATGCAACTGTCTTTCTCTTCCATTCCAAACCAAATTTCACTGCACAGAGAGGTGCTTGAGCAGTATTTACAGGTATTTGAAGGCTTGGTAGGTAATAAATGATTCAACTTAGTAATGATGAATTTTGTCCCCAGTTTTTTCCAGCCCTAGCTGAATGCACGGCAGGAAAGCAATACATTTCAAGTGCTTTCCATACAGCAGGATTACTAGACTGTGAAACAGTTAATGAGGCGTTTCTGAGGTTTCCAGGCCTCAAGTGCACCAAACAGAATGTCCCCATACAAATGCAACAAAACATTCTTCAGACATGCGTCACCACCAGGAGCCCGCCAACTTCACATGACGCATGCTAGTCAATGCCTACAGATACAGCTTCACTGAATGAGTACAAATAGTTGCACACCCACTAACCCCCCCATCTGCTGCAGTTTGTCACCACAGTAACCATGTCAAAACCAATTAGAAAAGATCTCATAAGTACTTAGCATAAGATGGGCAATAGTTAACTGTTTTAGGAGACCTCTTGTATATTTCATCTTCAAACCAAACTAGGGGTATGTTGTCTGTGCCATGCTTTAATTCCTCAAACAAAATGTTCCCCATAAGCATTTCATCAAACTAAGTATCAACCAGACTGTTTTTTTGCTGTGTTTACTGTACTTTTGTTTATTCAGAGCAACAGGTTAAGAAGTAAATGTTTCAGGTCAGAGACTGGGGTGAGGAAAAGGATATTACTGTCAATAATTATGAGCATTGCAAATATCTCTGTTGTGAGAACTCCTTCCCCATCCAACCATGCTGAAATCAGGGGCCTATATTTGAATCAAATTACTCCAACGTCATTTGGCTTCAACATGTATCATGCATAGACTGTCTTGGAAAGAAGATTTGATTTAGTAAAACCTACTTTTACTTCTATTAACATACAATACTCATAGTTACTTTTATCATATATATGTTTGTCTGTAGTGCCAATCTAAAAATTCTTCATTTTCGTCCCCTGCTATTACGTATCAGCATTAGTTAAATAAAAACTGAAAATATAATTGAAGGAAGTCATTTTGTGAAAGTGAGTATCAGAATAAGGAGAAAAATTACAGAATGTCAAATTCAAGTCATTGCATATCCAAAAGAGAAGCACATCTAAGGCAGAAATCCAATATAGTTGACTGCTGTCCACCTTGTTTAAAATGGACAGAACGTCCCATAGACCAACCATTTAGAGCCCAAGACTGTCTTGCAAAAAATGCTGAACCACATCAACCTTGGCTTGTTCCAGTAATCCACTCCTTAAAGTTGTTCCAAGTATATCATTAGGATCTATTCAGAGTGGGAAATTCCACCTTCGCTTTTATAATACCCCTGGAATATACCCTTGCTTTCTTTACTTGAGCAAGACTGATTGACCACAACTGTTACAGTAAAAGAGGTACTCAAGTGAAGACATTCCACTCCTGATTTAAGGAAGAGTCATCAGGTTTGGTTTAAAGATCAGCTTGGGAAAGTGAAGTGAGCAAGACTTGCAGACTGGATGAGATTAGCAGGGCTTAGAACTGCAATGATTTAAATTCCCATCTTCCCTTGCTTCCACCTCTCCAAATTCAGTTGCAAATTCTTCTTCTGCCTCTACTTATGCATCCTTGATATTTACCATCTTGAGGCTAGATAGTGTGTAGACTGAAAGTTGATGGGCTTAGCTTTGTTTGCACATTCAAAAAGGTTTGTGTCTGAGAGAGAAAGTGAGGAGAGAATATTTGCAATATTGCAAACCTGTTTACTGTGTGGGATGGGAAGGAAAAAATAGGTTTTTAAAAAACACGGACACTTGTGGGAAATCTATTCTGATTAAATAAAAAAAAATGCTACAATGAATTTTACACACACACTATTTCACTCGAATACAACTGCCATTATTGGTACATTACAGCATTCTGGCACATGCCCTCTGTGTGGAACTTTTTGCTTACCATCAATATTTAGCATCATTTTCCACATTGCAGGTCTAACAGATTGATGAAATCCAAACCAGACTTCCCTGCCGCCTCCCAGGGGATGATCATAGCCTTCTGGAGCAGAGAAAAAGGAGCGGCCTACAGGGGTATACCTATGTTTAAAAAAGAAGTCAAGTAACGCTACTTCTGTCTGCACAGATAAATATTCTCTTGCAAAAGGGGGTCTCCAAGCCTACCAAAAACATTCTGGTATACAATGTAAGCTCAAAGTATTTTTGCTGTGTGAAGTGAAGGATTCCATGCACCCTACACCTCATCTGAGGACAATACATTCGTTTAAGAGGCACACAAGCAGGTCATGCACCCAACAGGGCCCAATGGAGAGTCATTTCCGGGCTTTGTCACCCTTTGTTTTCAACTATCACTTTGCTCTCAACCATACAAACCTGATAAAAAAGAAGGGAACCCACTTATTATAAGATCCAGCTTTTAATACAAAAGGAACACAGTGTTCAAATTCCTTAGAAAATTCCAGTTTCTTAAAAGCAGGGACTAGGAACAACCAGCATTTCTAGTTTAGTGGTTTTGAAACCCATTTTAATACCACTTAGAATATATTTGTAGCTGCTTGTTTGTAGCTTAGTGTTTTCAGTCCTTGACATACGTTCTTACACTAAGACATACAGCCTCATAAAACATGTCGTTTATTTTCCCAGCACTTGGATGACTGAAATGCAGAGAGAGGTGACTTGCCTCAAGCCACCTAAAAGCTTCACAGCAGACGATGAATTCAAACTGAGCGCTTGTTTTTGTGCCTCAGACTCTGACTCATCCTGAAGTTTCATTTTCACCTCTGAAATCCATGTCTCACAAGAGTGGCTTTGACATCATTGACCAGAATTCTACCACTCGTCTGCTAGCACTACAGCCTCACTGCATATGAAGTCAGCGAGATATGCCAAATGGCAAGAGATTACACACCACCCACTTATGAAAGTGAAAGTCTCATGGTTTCCAATCGGTCACTCTGCATATCACAATCCAGCCATTCATTAAATTTATACTGTCTATCACCCGTCTAGGAAATCGCTACTATGGGTGATATACAACAAAAAAATATAAAACATAAATTAATACAGTTCCTATAAGGACTAGACAATACAAACTCAAAGATTGCTTGAGAATAGCAGAGTGCTCCACCCTTATGAATAGGATAGTGGCTGTCATTTCAGTGTGCCTTATGAGCACGCTGAAATGACAGTGTGCTAACCCACAACCAACTTCTAACACTCTCACGGAGATCATAACTGCACCTCAGTTTATGGTCAGTGACTGTAAAGTCACTTGCACTGCTTAGGTTCATTCCACACGGAGGCAATCTGGCATCAAAATACATTTCATAAAGCAACAGGATTTTTTTAAAAAAGAAATGGAATATTCTCTGCTGAAAAATTAAGCACGGAAATATTTTCTCGCGCCCCCCCCCCCATTGCTGCTGTCAAGAGAATGTGTTCCAAGCACAACAGATAACCTACTTCATGGAGGGTAAATGTCGTAGCACCACATCGACGGCATGTACAGGGTTAGTGCTGATTGGCTTGTCTAATTCCAGAGGCTCAGGTAAAGTCCGTCCTGTAAGCACCTCATGCAGCAAGTGCCAGCTCACCCGGGAAACAAACTTTATTGACACCTTGAAGGGACGATCTTTGCCTCCTTCACCCGGCAATGTTACATCCAAATCAACCTGTTCGGAGGGAAAAGCCACAGGACCACAAGCAGAAAAGAAGAATCCAAAAGTCAGCCTAAAAATGTACATACAGATTTAGAAATTGGACAACTACATGAATGACAATGAAATTGCACTGCAGGTTAAGTTCAACCAATGGCAAAAGGTAATAAAAAACAACACAAGGTCCAACGTTTATGTCTTGAATTTTAAGTGAGACTGAACGTGGAGTTTTACTCTAAAAATTCTGTTCCTCAAATTTTGAACTCTTTGTATTCTCACACCTTGCGTGTGATTTTCTTGCACAGTTGGTCTTACAGAAAAGATGGCTTTGTTTATCGACAACTATCAAAAGAGATCACATTGTTTTATTAAAATGAAGATGTGTTGACAGGCAATTTATCATCAAATGTTTGACCTCTTTATGGTCACACCTTAGTGTGAAAACAGCCCTGCACAGCTCAGTAATTTTGCTCATATTTCACACCATGGGTTCTAAAACAAGCACTAGCACATCCAAAGAGCAGATCAACCAACGGGCATGAACAAAAACCACCGAGAAGCCATTACCTAAAGATTCCTACAGTCAAATCCAAATGTTCTGCCTTCAATGTTTTGATTAACAAAACGGATGTAGTCAGCTACCCCTCCATCTCCCAGAGATGTCAGAAAATTTAAACTAAGTGTGAGCACTTCTAGATTCTGCACTGGAGATTTGGCACAACTGCAAACATGAAAATCTTTAAACATATTCATCCCACCTCTTAGGACCACACTAGTCAATGCATGAAATGTGTGGTTACATTTAATCTATGCCTGTGGTTGTATTTAAATAGCAAATGGGTTGGAGCAATTAGGATGACAGTGTGCAGAGTGAGATTAGATGTGTTGCTTGTCAATGGCAATACCTAACAGAAACTGCCCACTGCGAAGTCCTGGCGTGTTCAGAGAATCAAGCTGTTGGTGGTGCTAAAGGCAACGTCTACCTTGGGAAACAGACACTCTGGGAAAACACTTTTGGTCTGGACAGGAATAACTCCATCATCCCACAGTCCTCATTCCATTCCTCCAGTGTGGCTGATTTTTTTTAATGAAATGTACTCATACATTCCATCAATCACCAAACTTAGTTAGAAGACATGATTCAGCCAGCATGCCAGAACCCACACACATTGAAAGGGCTACATCAACCATGCACACTGAACAAATTTTACAGAAAGTTCCATGTGATTTCTACTGTATGTGTTAGTGGCTCATGCACACTAGACTAATCATTTGAATTCTAAGAATGTGGCCAGGTAACTGTCCTGTTCTCCTTATAAACATACCGAAGCCTTTAATTCTTAGCCTAGAGTAAAATGAGCTGAACTACATTTATGCAGCTTTATCTCATTTACTGTGCTTCTTCCACCCTACCCCCAATCACTTATCCTCCTAGGTCTCCAGCAGCCCTGGAAATGCAATCCTAACTCAAAGATGCACTGGCTACACAGGGTTAAGATCAAAGACAAGCCACTTTGGATGGCAAAAGTGCCTTCTGCTTGCAGGATCATCTTCTGGCTGATTTCAGAGGTCTGCTGAAAGACCTAGATGCCAGCAGAACTGCTTGGCTTACTAACTAAAATGTGTGGGCAGAGAAGGGGTAGATGAAGAGGAGCACAAAGGAGGAGTTGATTTATCATGGATCTAAACTCCCTCTAGGCAAATGAAACATCCATGCCTCAAAGTTAGGCCAGTGTAAGAGGAATCGAAGATAATTTCCAGAATCCCTAAACTGGAAGGAATATGGATTCAGTACAACTTCAGCTGATTGAACATCAACTCATTTCACTCTTGGCTATTCTGAGTAGAGAGAACTGAAGTCTTAGATTGCAAACTCTTCTAGGAAGGGATCTTTTCTTCTAAACTTGCTTTGTAAAGTACCATGAACAGCCATCAGATTAAACAGTATTGACATAAATTGACAAACATCCTAGGAAAGGAATTCCTTTAGCTTATAAACAATTAGACCTTCAGCAAAGACAAAAGGACATTACCCCAGTTGTTGCCACAGGGAGTGGGTTGGCTGTATAAAGGCTTCTTTTACCATCATAAACTGGTCTACGGTCCCCAAATATTGTCACTTTAAAATGCTGCACCATTGAATCTACCACTTCCCTAAGAAAACAACAAAAGTTTGTTTGAATTTAAACAGCATGGCTTAAATAGGAAAAAATCAAGTTTAAAAATCTGTTACATTTCAAGATTGTTCAGCTCAACCTTCCCTAAATATTGTCTTCCAGAGGGGCTAGATAACAACTCACACCATCATCAAATAGCATAGCCACCAGCATATGATTATTGGAGTTAGTCAAATACTTCTGGGGGTACCAGGAGAGGGAATGCTGATTTAATATTTCCCCGATGGTTACAGAGCTGCCTAATCACCAATTAGCACAAGGAATCACCCCTGAAATCTGTAACTGAACAGTTAATATAAAATAAAGTCTGGATGTGCAAATGTTGGGAGAACAGTTGTTTCCACAGTACCAACTGTTAATTTAAAAAAGAAACTCAACTAGCAAATAACTTGCAGTATGTGTTCAAATGCTGCAAGAGACATACCACCTCCCAGTACTTTCCAACCGTCTCTTTATTCGCTTGTGCAAAACAGTGGACATTCCTGTTATTTAGACTAGCCAGTAAGCACTCGCTGCTATTTCAACCGGATGTGACAGACCCTAGTAACATCATCACAAAAAAATATCTTCGGAGGCCTTGCAGCTGCATCTTATGCTACTGTGAGTCACTGTTCTCTAATACCACGGAAAATAAGGTCTACATAGGAGAAATAGCTTATTTTCATCAAATTTTATTGGCATGTTACTGCAACAAAAGAAAAAGAGAAACCACATAGCTTGCATCATGAAGATTTTCCCAGTAACAGCATGCACAGACCAAAATTAAAAAAAAAACTGATTACAACAGTAGCAATGTTCATGCAATCACTTCTACCGTCACAAACACTATAACTAACCTAACATTTTCCAAAGTGGTAGCCATATTAATCTATTGCAACAAAATAATGAAGACTCAAATAGCACCCCCAAGATTTAACAGAGCAGTCATCCACGCTGTAGTCGCATCACATGCTGACTACTACACAATAAGGTCTGCATAAGATTTATGCTTAAAGAGCCTCCACGAACTTTTGCTGGTGCCCAATGGAGCACCTCACCTGCCAACTGGCTTGTGGCATTCAATTCATATTATTCTGATAATCAAAGTTATGCCACAGTTGCAAATTGCTTTCTGAACCCAACATGCAAACGCTACCTGATGAAACTCTTTAGCAGGTATGAAGTCAGCTGGTTCCAAAAACATGAGTTCACAGCAAATGACGGTTGTAGAGCCTACAAGGGCTACAGCGGAAGTCATCTGCCTTTCCAGTCAGTTACATGAGATTAGTTTGCTTTCTACGTGAACAAACACATGTTTTATGAACTACCAACAAACCTGGTATCTCAAACGATCTGGTATTAAAACAGCCCCATCCTTAAGGACTTTTAAGAATTACTTGACTTCCTTGCAAGTTCAGGGGCAGTCACCTTTGTGACCTCTTGTCAACCCAGTTGATCAGAAAAGAGTTCTTGCTTATCTGGATGCACAAACTTCCATTCCATGTGAGTAAAGGTACTGATGTCTGTAACATGTAGCCAGTTTGACTACAAGGATCTGAATAAATAAATGGAAAATAAACTAAAGCACTGCATGAAACAGGCTTTTCTTAATACTTTTTTCATTTTAGTTAGGGAAATGATGAAGATAGGAGAGTATCTGTTTGCATTGCCATATTTTAAATACCATTTTAATAGTATGTTGAAAGAGGAGATGGTGGGATTATCTTTCACACCAGAAGCAGAAGGAAGATTTAGGTTTAAGTGTGTTAAATACATTTAATCTAAGAAACTGACTACACTCCCCTATGAAGAACTAGCTTAGGGTCATTGATTTTATAAACTGCAGTTCACAGACAGACACAAACCAGAACTAATATGAGACCACTTGATTTTCTCCCCACAGAGCCACAATCCTCAGAAATAAAGGACCTGCTTATGAACTTAATAAAGCCAGACATAATATTACAATACCCAACACAGATATAATAGCCAAAGCAGAAGGAAACAAGATCACTTAGAGGCCTGTTGTAAAAATTTAGGTATAAAAGACTGTTGTTGGTAGAGATAGTTTTAGATTCACACTGAAATGCTAATTCTTAAAAGACTGATTTATTTTCAGATTAAATTCCAGGTATTCCCTATTTAGCATGCTACTTGCCTCTAAGAATAATAACTTACACCAGATACCACCTTTATAACAAATACATAACTTTCACAATGGATACTTAATATACTTATTTAATGAGTTTGGAGTTTCCATCTGAAAGAATACATATTCTGTCCACAAATGGCTCTTTGGCTTAGTATCTTATCCAATATTATCATTTCCAGATGCAATAATCCAGATGAAAAGGTACTTTAAGTATCAAATAGATGGAGTAATAGCAACCATTCGGGCTTACCTGTTCACTCTCCGAGGACACTTATCTGGCTTAATATCTACCTCATAGAGGTAGACGTCAATCTTTGGGATTTCAACTTGGAAGCAATTGGCCAGCAGTTTAATAGGTTTGCCCATGGTGCCATAGCCAGGTCGTCTGGGCACCATGAGCAGGGGCTGAGCCCCAACGGGTCCTGTCAAAATAGAAGCGCAATTTAGAGACACAAACAGGGAAGTGATATCATGTTCAATTGCTATAGATACATTGCATAAAACACCTATGAAGCCCATATGTCATGGAAAAAGCTTGGCTAGTACTGTATCCTATTGGCCCACTCTGTGCATGTAAATCACCACCTGTCCACCTCCACAGCAGGACCTCTTCTCAGCTGACTGTGTCGCTAATGGCTGGCTTTGAGGGCCTTCAGGACCAAGAGCTTGTGGGAAGGATAGTCAAAAATACTCCCCTTGGCTGCACCTTTCACAATGCCTCAATCCCAAAGATCCCTGAAATCAGGCACTGTGCACAAGTTGGCTGAAAATCAGCTGCTCTCAGGAAGTGAGAAGGTGATGACAGGAGGAGGAAAAGCACCAAAATCACCCTCTTCCACACAGAAAGAACTGGAGAGCTTCTTACAACACAGGATGGGGAACGAGCCTTGATGGTATTACAGCACTCATGTTCTTTCAGTTCTTCTGCATTGGCTACTACATCAAATGATATCCTAGGGTTAGAAAGCCAACAGATAGCCTGTTTCCCTTTTCCCCTCACTATATTCTCTCAAACACTTTCTCATCCCCATCCTTGTGCTTAAATCAAAATTAGAGCATCTTAAGCCCTTCCCAAGTTCATTCTGCATCTCTGTTGTCCTTTTGCTTCTTAAAGTGATTAGCTTTAAATTACTGCTCTGTGATTAATATACAAAATGAATCAGAATACACATTCAGCAAGGATCAGAAAAGTATTGAACTTTGAGGCCTCTACAAATGGGAAAGTCTTGGTTTTAGCACTCTGGATTAAGCCTCCACTACAGAACATAGATTTTTGTGGATAAGTCATCTTCTACTGACAGTTTTCAATCCTTAAACCTGAGTGCCACAACAGCACTACCACCCTAGTAATACAAATGGACTACACACTTCTATTTTGTATCTGCTACTGGGAACATCAAAACAAGTTGCTTTGGAAAAATTCTGCTGCCATTGGAAGAGAATTTTCCATGAGACTGTACTCCAGTGAGGATTCTACTTCTTCTGACCACCAGGTATGGCCAGAACAAACACGCAGGGTTAGTGCAATACCAAAATCCATTATTCTGTTTTGCTGAGGTAAAGACTGACACCAGCTCCACATTTTTCTAGCTTACCACAGAAACCTGAGTGCTCAGATATAAAGACTGTATTGATTGTTTGGCAGGGGACTCACTATTTGTTTCAAGCTAGCCATGTTTTTACTTCTGTGAATGGGGAAACCATGCTGTATTCAACTGTTCTATTTATGTTACAAGTTCTGTTCATGGATGAGTTACCACTGGATCCAACCCCTCTAGTTTCTCAAAGCAAACTGGGCATGAAATGGTTTCACAAATTATCGTCAGTCACCAACGAGAAGAAAAAGAATTACTACATTCTAGCCAACACTTGTTTTTGTAGGAGAAGGAATTTGCCCATTTGCATCCAATGAAGAAGGAGAATAAGTAAACCAGATATGAAGTGTTCCAGCTAAAACTGAGGAGGTCCAAATGAGATATATCATCATTAATGCTGATGAATTTCAGTGGTTTAAGCAGTTAATGTGAGGAAAGGAAATACTATCAAAGCAACAGGAGAACACATTCTTCTCACTATGCATAAAAAAAGCTAAAGGACTTGAACACTTTGTGCTGTTCTTTTTTTGTTTCCAATATTTTGTTTGCACTTTTGGTAAACGTATCTGCACAAAACATAGACAAGTACTGACAATCACATTTCACTGTCTTTGTTTGTCCTAAACAAAAAGGGAGAGATTAGGAAAAAAATATACACTGAGAAGTACTCCGAATTTCTGGAATGACTCAGACGACAAGCATCATTACTTAAGAGACATAATGAAGTCAACTGCTTTCCAATCTTTTCTTACTCCTACTCAGTGACAGAGGTTGTATTATATTCCCACCTACCAACTTCAGCTGTCAACAGTATCACATATGTGCAGAGAGAATACCAAACGGAAGAAGACAGAATTATATTTCTCGTTCCCAACACTGAAATGTGTTGTGCCCAAGATTTAAACAATTGTATCCAAGCTACTTTGCGAAGAGCTTACAGAATACACACCATTAGTTAAGACCAGTATCATGTCATGTGAGAAAATGCTTTTGCATCATGATTCTGCCTGGAAACAATGATGATTTACTCACACACCAAGATTATCAAAAACTGTAAAAGTCAAGGACTCAAAAACAGCTGTATTTGCAAAGAAAAATAATTCCTGGAAATTTTCTCGCCTTCTTTATAAGCTGGGTTGCCACTGGGTTGATTTGCTTGAGTTTTCGAAATTGCTACACTCTTACTTGACTTGGCACTTTAAGCATGATAATCCTTGCTCACCTCTGATTACTCCTACTGATGAACAAGCTGGATAGAGGGGCAGTTGGTGCTGGAATCTTTATGTATGGTGTAGAGGTGGACTGATGCATGGAGAAACACGCCTTACTATAGAGGGTTGGACTAATCTTTGAACTAGGCTCTAGAACTGTAGTCAAAAAACACACCCAAGACATCACATCAGTGGCAGGAGTATCCCTAAGCTGAGTTCCTAATCAACTTGCATAAACCTGCAGAACAAACGGAACTTGCTTTCCTGATCAAATCCTATCAGTGTACAGACCTAGTCAAGCGAATGGTTGAAATGCACAGCCTTCCCTCAAGAGAATAATCGGCCTGCATTTTAACAGGAAAGGTCAGCCTATCTGTGACAAGGTATGTGTCAACTGTTTGTTTGTTTGCTTTAAAGAAGGTATGAGAGTCCTATCTTTTTCATGAGGACCCCAATAAATCCAGTGACTAAGAGGTTTAATCATTTTTTTCTCCAGCCATGACCCTGAGTGTGATCAGGAACCACACCACAGTGTTGTTATTAGCCTTGCTGCTGGTGGTAGCGGGGAACCTAAGTCACTAAAAATGGAAACATTTCCCCTAATAGCGGCACTAAAGAATGTATGAGAGTCCTATCTTTTTCATGAGGACCCCAATAAATCCAGTGACTAAGAGGTTTAATCATTTTTTTCTCCAGCCATGACCCTGAGTGTGATCAGGAACCACACCACAGTGTTGTTATTAGCCTTGCTGCTGGTGGTAGCGGGGAACCTAAGTCACTAAAAATGGAAACATTTCCCCTAATAGCGGCACAGGAAGGGTGATTTACATGAGACAGGCAGCTGGGGAAAGGGAAGCTGCCCACAAACACACATGCCAGCCCTGGTGAACATGAGGGTTCCAAGGCCTGCAATTCTTTTTTAAACCGCTGACAAGCTTCCAAGTGACGTGACCACACTCACTTGTGGTATTGCCTCAAAACTCAGTATGTGATGGACCAAGTCACTATATTCAATATATCTAGTAGAGATATATTGTTATGTCCTCCGTAAAGGAGGACATAACAAGGGTCCAGCCCCATGGGGCTGGACGGTCCACTCACTGATCCACCGCAGGCACCATGGATCCTTCCAATAGCTCTGAAGATTGCGTTCGGCTTGCCACTTCTGGAAGGAGGCGGGACAACAATCCTCTCTGCTAGGTTTGAACGGTGGCTCACCAAACGTGATCTCCGGAGCCATTCTTGAAAATTAAAGGCTATGGCTTCTTTTACTGAGTGAACCCTTCTCATTCCAGGTGCACCTCTTTCCCTACTCCCTTCCACTTTTCCAAGTTGACAAATATGCATTTAAGAGATTCAACACTGAAAGCACTATACAACTTTGCCACCTATCTTCGCCAATGGTAAGAAAGGTTGCCAAGAACAAGAATGGGGGCTTCTTTGCAGTGGTACCATCCCTGTGGAATGCCCATTCCAGAATGTACACATGGGTCCCAGTGATGGCTTTCAAACCTGAATTAAAAACTAAGAATTTTCAGGCATTTTTAATAGAATTTAAAAAAAACAAAACCTTTTTCTGCTGTCATGGGATTGTGGTTCTTTTGAATTTTGTTTGTTTTTACAGTTTTACTCCATGAATTGACCTGGAGAGACACTGCTTGTAAAGGCATACATTTTGGAAGGTTCAAAAAAGATAATACAAAAAAATCCTGTATTACAAGACTAAATATGCCTCCCAATTGCTGTTTTTAACTGCTTTTACAGTTTCTGTGCTCTACCCACTGTGAACTAGAGACTAAAAAGAGAAATAATAAAACTGACAGATGCCAGCAGTTTAGTTTTTTTAGTGAATAAAATTGTATGGTCCAGAGGAACATGAAACAGCAATCTCACTGAAATTTAACAAATCTGGTTAGTGCTTGGATGGATGATTGTCTCACAAACCTATGCACACCATCTTAAATTCCATCAAGGAACACATGAAGGGCACAACTGCAATCAATTTCTTTCTTTTTTAAAAAGTAAACCACTATGTGGTTGATATCGGACTATGATGCTGTCCGCCTACAGCAGCAAAAATTTTTAAACACACATTAATGAATAAGAAAAAACCTTTTCCATGTACAGCATAGAAGCCAAGTAAAAGACAACCAGCCCACTGATATATTTTGTATCTTTCACCACAGACATGGGTCTGTCCAACTGTTTATCTTAGGCAAAGGGCTGACTACAGGATTGATACAGAACACAATCTCTTGTTTTCATATACCCCGGAACTTAGCCAATGAGCACAAAAGGACATCAGGGGTATCCAGACCAGAATTTAAGGAAATCACTTCTCTGGACTACAACATGCTGATTCAGGGTTTAGACTTACAGTCCAAAACCAACTTTTACAGACTCTTGTTCCAGACTTTCAGGGATAGAGATAGGAAGGCCTGGAAAAACCCCGGAAAAATTTCCAAACCCATTTTATATGGCTTCAAAATTTCCAGAAATTATACATCTCAGTTCAGGGATAATTTCACGTTTATGTGCACACCTCTGATTTTCAGCCATGTGTTGTCCCATTTAAAACATGATGGCACAAAAAATGGGAAGGCAAATTTAGCAGAAAACTTCAAATTTGTAACTAAATGTTTCACAGAACAAAGAAAATAGTAAAGAAAAATGAACTGTTCTCTTTTTTTACTGCTTGTCAAATGCACACACTGAAATTTTAATGTGATATGCCACCGCCTGAAGCACAGGTTCTTCCTTGCTACTGTATCTGATACCAGAGCAACAGCTTCAAATTCTACAGCATCCTAACTACCTGTTCTGTGCAAGGATATGGCACAATGAGAAACAGAGAACTGACAACTAAGAGTTACTTGTGTGTATGTTTTCTTATTACTTATATACTACTTCACACAGGACTTTAATAAATGTTGTCCAGACATTTGTGTCTGAAGCTTTACAGTTCATCAGAATAAAATAAATTATTTTAAAAGGCAGGATTACTGGAAACATGTAATTTTATCAGTGACTCACAAAAGTCGTCAGAAAGTTAAAATCAGAAGTCTGCTTGCTAAGCTAGATCCATGCATGACAGCTCAAGCTGTAAACATCCTAAAGGCTCATGAAACATGTTCTACTAAACTTGCTATGTTTCCTCAGTGGCTTCCTCTTCATCACATTCCTCCTCTTACTTCTGTTACTATGTGCATACTCTGTTGGTTTTACATTCTTATAAGGCACTGCAGCATGAGGGGACAACAGAGGACAAGATAGCTGGAAGAGTTGGACACGACTTAACTAAACAACAACAACACACTGCCAGTTTTTGAGAAATATTATTCTAAGCACAACATGGCTCAAATGCATACATCGGCCTGCAACAATTGAGTTGTTCTGAGAAACAACAGATATGTAAGCAGAGGAGAACATACTCACTCTGTCCCACTTGCAAAGAAACTGACACCACTCACCAGGGGAAGAGGAGGTATGAAACTCCATTCTTGCTACATGAAAATTACCACCACCCAATTCCAGCACTGATGCACTTTCCTCTTCAGTCTGTCAACTTGTACAATCAGAACTGGCATTTGGGCCAGTGGAGGAAATGAGAATAGTTTTAACACCTCAAGCTTATACTTAGTCTTCCAGAGTTCCTCCTTAATATTAAGATACTTGCTCATGTTGTTTAGCAGGTCCGAGTGTTAAATGAAGTTATTGTGAATTAAACAAAGAGCTACCTGAAAAACACATAAAGTAGTTCAGTGTTCAAAACTCACAGGGTTAGCTGTGAAAACAAACACTGAATGTATAGATCCACTGGGATAGTAATTCCACTCAGGATCCAACTTCTTTCTTTCTAATTTTCTAGGAAGAGAAAGGAGACTCACTCACCACATACGAAACTTCCATTTTCAACTTTCTACTCTACATCTAGAGCACTGCTTCTCCCACAAGCATCTGAGTTCCTCTACTCTACATGTAGAACACTGCTTCTCCCACAAGCATCTGAGTTCCCATGGCAGAACAATAAGGCATTATGCTATCTCAGATCTTCCAGGATGCAGGCAGCCCCAAACAGATCTTATGACCCTTCTATTGAAACACAACACACACACACACACACCAGGGGTGTGTGAGAGAGAACATGAAGGTTGTACTACAGAGTTAAGAACCCCGAGCTCCCCAACGGATCATATGAATCCCACAAAACACACGCATACAGGTACAACGCCGGGCCCCCATAAGCTCCACCGAAACCCTAGAAGCATCCGAAGCACTTTCATGATAGCCTGATTCAAATGAATGGGGCTCCTCCTTTAAAGAAGCGGAAGGATCAGGGCAGAGAGAGAGAGAGAGAGGCATCCTAGTGCAAGGCACGAGAGAGGCGTCCCTATCAATGAAAACAAAGACAGTAATTAAAATATAGAGGGCTTCGAAGCCAATCAAACCCAAGAGTTAGGGAGACAAGCGATTGAATTTGTCCTGGCAACCAGCAGCCTCGGCTTCCA